CTGTAGCCGCAGAGAAGGTGGAGTGAAACAAAGTGAGAAATGGCACAAGCAATGACATTTTTTGAGGACAATGTTAAATGTGTATTACAAATAAAAAGAACCTCCAAAATGAAACCAAAACAAGTATCAAAGATGACTTTTATTACAAGCGATTTGCAAAAATTGGCCAGCTGTTTAGTGTTCCTGAAATCATCCAGTCATCAGTGTCCACACTGCAGCCTTGAGCTCCTGGTTCCTCAGGCTGTGGATGAGGGGGTGCAGGGCTGGAGGCACCACCGAGTACAGAACTGACAGGGCCAGATCCAGGGATGGGGAGGAGATGGAAAGGGGCATCAAGTATGTGCCAGTGCTGACAAACAGGGAGAGCATGGCCATGTGAGGGAGGGAGGTGGAAAAGGCTTTGTGCCGTCCCTGCTCAGAGGGGATCCTCAGCACAGCCCTGAGGATCTGCACATAGGAGAAAACAATGAACACAAAACACCCAAATGCTAAACAGGCACTAAGGGCAATGAACCCATGTTCTCTGAGATAGGATTTGGAGCAGGAGAGCTTGAGGATCTGGGGCATTTCACAGAAGAACTGGCCCAATGCATTTCCCTGGCACAGGGGCAGGGAAAATGTTTTGGCCGGGTGCAGCAGTGAAAAGAGAAATCCACTGGCCCGGGCAGCTGCTGCCGTGTGGGCACAAGCTCTGCTGCCCAGGAGGGTCCCGCAGTGCAGGGCTTTGCAGATGGACAGGTAGCGGTCATAGCACACGATGGAAAAAGACAGTGAAGAGTTAGAAGAGGTACCTGTAACCAAAGTCCAAGCCATTTTTCCACCTCATGACTCAGCAGGAATTTCTCCAATAAAGAAACTAAACTTTTGCCTGAAGCTCCCACTCTGCCCATGACAGGTGTGGCAGCACATTTCTCTCCCTCTCAGGATTTTTCATAGAGGTGCACAGAGAGAAATGAAAGAGAAAACAACTTCTATTTCCGCTCCTTGTTTTTCCTATGTGGAATGTGTTTGGAGAATTGTTTACATGGAGTGAGTGCTTGATTGGATTCTGGTGAGGATTCTTTGAGCCTGATGGCCAATCCAACCCACCTTGTCTGGACTCTGGAGAGAGGGTCACGAGTTGTGTTATAGTTAGAGATAGAATTAGAGAAAGCAGTATGTAGTTTTAGTCTCTTCCTTTTCATATAGTATATGAATGTATTTTAGCCATAATTATAATAAAGAAATCATTCAGCCTTCTGAAGTGAGTCAGACATCATCATTTCTTCCCATTGGGTTTGCCTGCATTTGCAATAGACAGGAACTCCTGTGAGTGTCTGGGACCTCCCGCCTCTTTGGCAGCCTGGGCACTCCTGGGATGTCACCGTGGAGCCCCTGTGAGTGCCTGTGACAGATCGGTGCCTTTGCAGCACAAGGTGCGCTGGGATGTCACCATGGAATGGCTGTGACTGCCTCTGACCACTCGGCTCCTTACCATCCCCCGAAAGCCCTGGCAGGTCTCCACGGAGCCCCTGTCTCTCTGTGTGTGACATTCCAGCTCTTGAAGAGCCTGGAGACTTGGGAAGTCCCCATGGAACCTCTCTGAGTGCCTGTGGCAACTCGGTTCCTTCACAGGCAAACATCACCAGCCCCTGTTGCTGTGGTCAGTTTCCATGGAGACCATCATCAACTCCCCATTGCGATGGTCAGTTTCCATGGCAACCATCCCCAGCCCCTGTTGCTATGGTCAGTTTCCATGGCAACCATCCCCAGCCCCTGTTGCTATGGTCAGTTTCCATGGCAACCATCCCCAGCCCCTGTTGCTGTGGTCAGTCCCTGGGCAGCTCCATGGAGATCCCATGCCAGGGGTGGTTGCCATGGACACCAGCTCAGGCCTGCAGCCACAGGCTGTTGCCATGGCAACCTCTGGCATCCCATTCTCAGGATCATGGGATCCCAGAACCACAGAACTGGCTGAGCTGGGAGGGACCCATCAGGATCCTCGAGTCCAGCTGCTGGCCCTGCACAGGCACCCCAACACTGCCAGCCTGGGCCTGGCAGCGCTGTCCAAACGCTGCTGGAGCTCAGAGAGCCCTGGAGCTGTGACCCTTCCCTGGGGAGCCTGGGCAGTGCCCCAGCAGCCTCTGGGCAAAAACCTTTCCCTGAGATCCAACCTCAGCCTGCCCCGACTCAGCTGCAGCCGCTCCCTGCACTCCTGTCCCTGGGCACCAGAGTGAAGAGGCTCCCTCAGCCCCAGCCAGGGACCCGCTCCCAAGGCTGCTGCCATGGCCACCAGGGCTGGCACCAGCTGCGATGCTCGGTTTCCATGGGCCGGGCTTCAGGAATGGGATTCCCCAATTTCCTGCTCCCGCTAAAACCGCGCTGCCGCTCGCTGCCCTCCCACCTCCCATGGAAAGCACAAAAGGCAAAGATCCTGAGCTGGGATTAGAACAATTTAATGGGAACAGCAACGAGATAAGGAACAAACAGGAACAGCGACAACAAAAGAGATAAGAAAAACTATTTACAAGGAAAACTACATCACAATCAGTAGACCATATGTCATTCATCCACTCAGTTGTACATGCCACTGAACTGCTGCACCAGGGGACTGGCATTATCACACCTTGCGTTTCCCTTTGGCATTCTCTTTCAGGGCGCAGATGAGACAAAACCAAAAAGTTCAGCTTTAGTCAATCTTTACCTTCAAAGGAAATTCAGGACTGTGCAGCAGAGACCAATGTCCTGCATGTCCAGGAATCTCGTGCAGAGAGCGATGCTCTGTGAAATCAGGAATCCCATGCAGAGAGCGATGCTCTGTGAAATCAGGAATCCTGTGCAGAGACCAATGCTCTGTGAAATCAGGAATCCTGTGCAGAGAGCGATGCTCTGTGAAATCAGGAATCCCGCGCAGAGAGCGATGCTCTGTGAAATCAGGAATCCCGTGTAGAGAGCAGAAACATCAGCTCTTTTCCCTGGGAAAGAAAACTCACCAGTCCAGGTTCCTGATGTCAGTTTGTAGGGCTCCCCTGGGACTCTCAGGGCAGCACAAGTATGAGGTGGGGGCAGCTCCTGTCTGGGACTTATCCTTCGATGTTCGGATTTTTTGCAGTCAGCTGCCGGCTCAGGGCCACAGGACACGGAGCACAAACATCAGCTCTTTTCCCTGGGAAAGAAAACTCACCAGTCCAGGTTCCTGATGTCAGTTTGTAGGGCTCCTATGGGGCTGTCAGGGCAGCACAAGTATGAGGTGGGGGCAGCCCAGGTCTGGGACACATCCTTCGATGTTCGGATTTTTTGCAATCAGCTTCTCGCTCAGGGCCGTAGGGTCCTGAGCACAAACTCAGGCTTTTCTTTCCAAGGTTGAGCGATCACTTTGGCTTCCTAATGCAAACAATGACTGACCTGCTTAGTACAACACCCTCACCCTGGGTTGGTGCCCTCTGCCACTGATTTGAACTGTCTGCATCTGAAAGGAAGTTAGGACTAGTGTCAAAATGCGGCAGGACAACTTCACAGCTCCAAACATGTCATGTAAATTTCCCAGTACAGCCTCGAGCCCAACTACACCCTGCATTACCAATTTCCAGTCCCCAGGACTTGTGCTATTATAGGCTATGCAGCAGGGCAGAGCAGCTCCAGGACAAATGTGTGCAGACACCCGTGACACATGACGTGACAAATGAGGGGACAGGCCAAAGAGAGAGAGCTTTTGATGAGAAGAAAGGACAGAGAGACCCAAACACCACAGAGTGCACCAGAGACAAGCGACAGAACACACACCGGAACTGCTCTGCCCTGCGCACCTCAGTAATGAGATCAAAACAGACACTTTCCTTTTAGGTGGCAGAAGGGGACGCTTCTTGGACATCCAGATCTCCAAAACTGACTCAAAAAACCCTCCTGGGGCGTCCCAACCTGGCATCTCTCTTTCATCCCCTATGTGGGTTGTAGCCCTGGACTTATCTTGCACATATCTGGGGATGCAAATCTCCATCAGGTGCAGAAGGAGACCTCCTGCCTGTCTGGGAAGTTCCAGTTGTCACCAGGCTGTTCTCTCTTGGTCTGCCAAGGTAAAGAAAACCAAACATCAGTGCACAACCATAACAGCACAACGGCCAAAACGTGACAATTCTGCTACTCACCGCCTACTAAGAATGCTCGGGCCACACACCTCAGGCGTGCTTGGAGGCCGACACCACCATCTCAGGGTACACCTAGGTTAAGTGGGGACAAGGTGATGTGGCAAAGCTGAAACTTGAGTAGAGCATCGCTCTCCTCCCTACCTCCCTGACTCACCACAACTCCATCGCCACTCCTCTGGGTTACCCAGATGGGACCTTGAAATGCAAAATTAGAAGGTTCTGTCACAGGGTCCTGTCATGCTTCCGGTGAGATCACAAGCACATGAAACCTGGTCCATCAGCCAGTGGCGACAGAGGTATGCGTACTCCAAGCCGATTCCCTAAAGCACACAAAAAAGAATGGATGCTTATAGTTGCACCAAAAACTGGAACCTGCCACACTGGGCTTTGACTGCTGCTATCTGCCTGGACCTCCTAAAAATAAAGGCAAAGAACAGGGCTGTAACACAGTCACCACTTAGGCTTCCAAACGGAAACAATGACTGACCTGCTCATGGGAGGTTCCTCACCCAGGCATGGGGCCCTCTGCCACAGATTTGAAATGTCTGCATCTGAAAGGAAGTCAGGACTGGAGTCAAACGGCTGCAGGACAACTTAACAGCACCAAACATGTTATGTCAATCTCCTAATACAATTTGGAGCCCAACTACACCCTGCATTACCAATTTCAAGTCTCCAGGACTTGTGCTATTACAGGCTAAGCAGCAGGGCAGAGCAGCTCCGGGACAAATATGTGCAGACACCCGTGACGCAGGACAGGACATGACAAACGAGGGGACAGGCCAGGGAGAGAGAGCTTTTGATGAGAAGAAAGGACCGAGAGACCCAAAGAACACAGAGTGCACCAGAGACAAGTGACAGAACACACACCAGAACTGCTCTGCCCTGCGCACCTCAGCACTGAGATCAAAACAAACACTTTGCATTTAGGTGGGCTTAGGAGACTCTTTTTCAACATCTCCATCTCCAAAACTGACTCAAAAAACCCCCCTGGGGAGTCCCAACCTTGCACCTCTCTTCCATGCCCTCTGTGGGTTGTAGCCCTTGACTTATCTTGCACATATCTGGGCATGCAAATCCCTGTTGGCTGTAGAAGAAGGCCGTCTGCCTGTCTGGTAAGTTCCAGCTGTCACCTCTTGGCCTGCCAGGAGAAAGAAAACCAAACATCAGTGCACAGCCTTAACAGCACATTGGCCAAAACCTGATAATTTTGCTACTCACCATCCTCCTCAGAATGCCCGGGTTCTGGGCCAGCACACTTTGGGTGTGGTTGGATTCTGACGCCTTCATTGCAGGGTACACCTAGGCTAAGGGGACACAATGATGAAACTTGAGTTGACTCCCACTCCTCCTCCCTACCTCCCCGACTCAGCACAACTCCTTGGCCACTCCTCGGGGCTACCAGGGTGGGACCTTGAAATGCAAAATTAGAAGGCTTCATCACAGGGTCCTGTAATACTTCCAGAGGACTCACAAGCACAGCAAACCCAGTCCATCAGCCAGCTGGTGACAGGGGCTTGGCATACTCCCAGTGGATTCCCTAAAGCACACAAACAAGAATGGATGCTTACAGTTGCACCAAAAACTGAAACCTTAGCAAGAACAACTGCTTCTGTCCACTGCTCACCTAGCACAATGGGCTTTGACTGCTGCTATCTGCCTGGACCTCCTAAAAATAAAGGCAAAAAACACCGCTGTAACAGAGTCACCATTTAGGCTTCCCCTGTAAATGCAAACAATGACTGACCTGCTCATGGGAAGTTCCTCACCCAGGACTGGGGCCCTCCGCCACAGATTTGAACTGTCTGCATCTGAAAGGAAGTCAGGACTGGAGTCAAACGGCCGCAGGACAACTTAACAGCACCAAACATGTTATGTCAATCTCCTAATACAATCTGGAGCCCAACTACACCCTGCATTACCAATTTCAAGTCCCCAGGACTTGTGCTATTACAGGCTAAGCAGCAGGGCAGAGCAGCTCTGGTACAAATATGTGCAGACACCCGTGACACAGGACAGGACATGACAAACGAGGGGACATGCCAGGGAGAGAGAGCTTTTGATGAGAAGAAAGGACCGAGAGACCCAAAGAACAGAGAGTGCACCAGAGACAAGTGACAGAACACACACCAGAACTGCTCTGCCCTGCGCACCTCAGCAGTGAGATCAAAACAGACACTTTTCCTTTAGCTGGCCCAAGGAGACACTTCTTGGACATCCTCATCTCTAAAACTAACTCAAAAACCCCTCCTGAGGAGTCCCAGCCTGGCACCTCGCTTCCATCCCCTCTGTGGGTTGTAGCTCTTGACTTATCTTGCACATATCTGGGGATGCAAATCCCCATCGGCTGCAGAAGGGGGCCACTACTCCCATCCCCAGGCCATGGACCCAACTTATCTTTTGGATGACTGAAAATGCGAATCCACGTTGGACCTGAAATTAGTCTCCCTCGGAGGGGATCTCCTGTTAGCCTCTTAGTCAGCTAGAATAAAGAACAGGAAAATCAATGGTTGAGTTTAGTGTTATGTGGGCCAAATCCCAGCAAGTCAGATACTTATCCTCTCCTGAGTGTGCCTGGGTGCTCGTCTCCAGCTCCATCCCTAGTCTAAGGTTTGGCTGTTATTATGAGTAGCACCTGGTTTAGAGAGGCAAAGTTACAGGGCATTTCTGCGAGTTCAGTGGATGAGCTTGTGTGCTGTATGACACACGGATGCCTCTGCTATGCTTGTGAAAAGCCATTTCTCACCCTACTGCCTGCAAAACCCCACCACGATAACTCTTAACTAGGTACCCTGCTCACTCTCCCACTCCTAGTCCCAATTCTCAACTCACCTGAAACCTCAGTCTCAGACATCATCTTTGACACAGCGCAGATTCCTTTTGGAACATGATCAATCTGCTGAAAAAATGTTGTACTCGACACAACCTGGAATTACAGGAAGTTGCACTCCTCCTAAAAAAAAAAAAACAAAAACAAAATCAACCAAAAAATAATTAGAGATTACAAAAGCACTTCACCACCCCTGAATGCACAACCCCAAATCATGAAATTAAATACTACCTGTGTTCAGTGTTGTTTTCTTCACAGTATCTTCAAAGCCTCTGTTGCATTAGAAGCCCAAAAGCACCTGCAGAGAACAAACAGAGATAAGCTGAAAGAGCCTCTTCACAAAAATGAGAGGAGAGCACTTACCCCAGTGGATCCCAAAGACGAAATGAAGCCTCTTAGCAAAGGCTGGGGTTAATATACCCCTGATTGGGCTGATTCAGAGCAGCTGTGGCTGTTTGGCTCCTCTGATTTGAGTTCAAGGGGAATAATGGGCTGGATACAGAAGAAAACTCTTCAGGGAAATGACAGCTGCTTCTCTGTGTCACCCTCCAGCTGCCACTGCCCCCCTCAGCATCTCCCTGTGTCACCCACTGTCCCCTCCCCCTGTTCCTCCCTCAGCTCCCAGCCTCTGTCACCCTCAAGCCCCCACAGTGCCCCTCGAGACGCCCCTCAGCCTCTATGCCATGAAAAGACCCTAAAAAAAACATTAAAATGCCCTAAGAACACCCTCATCCTCACTGTGTCCTAAACCCCCACAAAATCATAAAAATAGGCTCAGAATACCCTTAAAATACAATAAAATTACCCTACTTTAAAAAAACCCTAAACCACCCCTAAAAATCCCCAAAGAACCTTTAAAAATCCCTAAACATTCCTAAAAGAGCTCTAAAAATAGACCCAAAATCCTTAAAACACACTGATAAGACCCTAAAAACCATAAAACTTCCCTCAAAAAACCTTAAAATACTGTGGTCCTAAGAGTCTTCCACATACCCTCAATAGTCCTAAAAAAGCACCAAGAACACCCCCAAAAAAACCCCATAGAAATTCTAATTAGTACTAAGAAAGCCCTTGAAGCACCTTAAATAAATCTTTTAAAAACCCTGAAAATACCCTACAAGTAGCCTAAAACCTCCCAGAAAGTTCCTCAAGAGCTTCTGTGAGAAAACCCCTCAAACACCCTTTAAAAACACTTTAAAAAATACCTTAAAAAGTGCTCAGTCCCAGACACCATCCATGCCTTTTAATTAAAGTCACTGCCTGCAGCTGCTGGGAGGGTTCTGGGGCTGTCCCAGTATTAGGGTCACTGCCTGCAGCTGCTGCTGGGGAAAACTGGTGTTCTTGGGGTGCTGTTTGGGGTGAGCTTAGGGTTTGTTCACCTGTCACCCTCAGGCACCCTCCACTTTGTCCCTCAAGGCACCCCTTGCCTCTCAGCCTCCATGTGTCACCCTCCAGCTCCCCATTGCAGCCTCTCAGTGTCTCTGTGCCCCCCTTTTTACTCCTACAGACCCCTTCTGCCTCTAAGCCTCCTTGTGTCACCCTCCATTCCCCCACCGCAGCCTCTCAGTGTCTCTGTGCCCCCCTTTTTACTCCTGCAGACCCTTCTGCCTCTCAGCCTCCTTGTGTCACCCTCCATTCCCCCACCGCAGCCTCTCAGTGTCTCTGTGCCCCCCTTTTTACTCCTACAGACCCTTCTGCCCCTCAGCCTCCTTGTGTCACCCTCCATTCCCCCACCACAGCCTCTCAGTGTCTCTGTGCCCCCCTTTTTACTCCTACAGACCCTTCTGCCTCTCAGCCTCCTTCTGTCACCCTCCATTCCCCCACTTCAGCCTCTCAGTGTCTCTGTGCCCCCCGTTTTACTCCTACAGACCCTTCTGCCCCTCAGCCTCCTTGTGTCACCCTCCATTCCCGCACCGCAGCCTCTCAGTGTCCCTGTGCCCCCCTTTTTACTCCTACAGACCCTTCTGCCTCTAAGCTGCCCCCACCCTCTGTGCCACCCTCAGCCCCAGGACCCTTTGTGACACCGTCTGGGAATCCAGGGTGTTGTAGGGCTCTGGCTGCCCTGGAAACCTGGCAGGGGTCAGCAACCCCTCTGTACAGATCCGATGTTCGGATTTTTTGCAGTCAGCTGCCCGCTCAGGGCCACAGGACCCTGAGCACAAACACTGGCTCTTTACCCTGGAAAAGAAAACTCACCAGTCCAGGTTCCTGATGTCAGTTTGTAGGGCTCCCCTGGGACTGTCAGGGCAGCACAAGTATGAGGTGGGGGCAGCTCCTGTCTGGGGCTTATCCTTCGATGTTCGGATTTTTTGCAGTCAGCTGCCGGCTCAGGGCCACAGGACTCGCAGCGCAAACATCGGCTGTTTTCCCGGAGCCGCTCTGTGGCTACTGAGCCGGGCCGAGCCGGGCCGAGCCGCAGCGATTTTCAAAGGAGATTGGCACTGGAGCTACTGACTTGACTTCGGTGCTTTCTGTGAAAAACGCCAATCACTTGGTTTTTAAGATTTTAAAAGTTTAATAATTAGAGTAATAAATTAACACTTAGAGTAATAAAAGTTTAAGAGTTAGGACAATTACAAGACAATAAAAAGCAAAGAATTACGGACGTCCGGACGCTGTCTGTGAAAAACGCTGCGAGGCCTTTCCCGCCCTGCGCCGCCGGGATCTGCCCGGCGACCGATGACATCACTGGAGCCTCGGGCTGCCATTGGCGGGCCGCAAAGAGCGGAGCCAATGGCGGGGCCGGAGGCGGCTCTGGGGGCGGGGCCGCAGCGGAGCGGCGCCATGGCTCCCGCGCTGGGGCTGGGGGCGCTCCTGGGCCCCGGGGCGGCGGCGAGAGGCGAGGGGGACCCCGGCACCGGGAGGGACTCTTTGATCGCCCATTCCGGAGCACCGAGGGGCCTGAACCCCCATTCCCGGGCGCCGCCATCCCCCCGCACCCCATTCCCGGCATGGGTTCTACCCTGCACCCCCTTATCCGGCACCAGCAACCCCCGCACCCCTTTCCCGGCCATCCCGCCTCTCCCAGCCCCCAGAGCCCCCTTTTCCTTCCCCCAGAGATCCCCTGGAGCCCTATTCCTGCCTTTCCCAGCGCCCAGCCCCTCCTTTCCTCAACGCCGAGGACACCCGGGACCCCTATTCCCAGCCAGCCCGGGTTTTCCCACCTTTTGCGGGAATGGGGACACCGGGGAGCCGTGGAGCTCCATTTCCTGGATACAGGAACCCCCTTAACCCTGCCCATCCCACCTCTACCCACCCCAGCCTTCCCCTTTCTTAATCCTGGAACCCCCAAACCCCGTTCCCAGCTCTCCCGTGCCCCCTTTCCTTCCCCCGTGCCCCCCCAGCCCCAAATCTCCGTGTCCCCCCAGTTCTCCTGTCCCTGCGTTCCCTGCCCGTGGCGCTGTCGGGGCCCGGCCCGGGGTTCCCGCAGTTCGTGTCCATGGGGTCTCTGGATGGGATCCTGTCCTAGTTTAGGGCAAATTTGGGGAAAACCCCCTGAAAGGAGCCCCCAGGAACCAGGAAACCCCCACGGCCCCTTCCCACCCACCTGGTTCAGGGAAAAATTTCCTCTGAGAGGGAAGTGGAAAAGAACCTTTTTATTCAACAACAAAGCACTCCCCAGCACCAAAACAATTAACACAAGATGACAACAAAACTCTTTCACCCCTCTGAAGAGCTGAACAAATCCAGAAGGTCTTTCCTGGGAGTGGTCGCCCGGGTCTGGACGCTGGGGATGGCTGCTGCAGATCTCCAAATGCAGGCTCCTGGTGTTCTTTGGTGTTTCCCAGATCCCAGTCCAGAGCAGGCTGGATGATATTCAGAA